CGGAGGTCGGAGCCCTTGGTGAGCTCATCAACCTTCACCTGGAAGTGGGGCGAGTTCGAGACGCCCATGCTGGTGGACGTCGAGGGCCGCCAGCTCACCGTCACCGTCGAGGCTGACTGCCCCATGCTGGCTGCCGTCTCCAAGGGTGGGGAAATCACCTCGCCGCCAGCATGTCCCCAAAGGTTGGGAAAACCAGCCGGGGAGACCACCCAGCTGCCGGGCGTCGTCCTGGAGCACGAGCCGTCCAGTACGCACTTCGACATGGACGAGCCCGTGCCTGCAAATCGTTTCTTGCGAATGGAAATGAAACTCCATCCTCCCGAAAGGGGCCAAGAGGAAAGCGACAATGGGCCAGAACGAATACACCAGGTACATCGTCGACAAGTTCAAGACCGAAGCGGAGTAGGAGAAGCTGCGCAAGGTCCACGCTCCGGCTGCTGAAAACGACCTCAACGAGCTCGGGGTTTGCGAAGAGTCCGACGTGCCGGGCCAGTTCGCTAGTTACTTCTGCACCGTCACACATCGGGGGCTTGCTGTACCTGATGCGGTGCGTTCGTTTTGAGACGGCGGTGTCCGCTGCAGTCCTCGGAAGATACGTCACCAAGTGGTCAAAGCCATGTGGCACAGCCCTTGCGCGAGTTTCTGGGTACCTCGACACTTGCCCGGAGGCGGTGCTGGAGTTCGTGGGGACTCGCGGGACGTGAATTTGACCGTGCTCGTCCACACCGACTCGGACCACGGCGGACAAGCTCACTTCCCACTCGGTGTCGGGAGCCGACGCTGTGATCGTCGGGGGGTTCGGCGCGCAAGCTTTGATTGCCTGGAAAGCCAAGCACCAGCACGGCGCCGTTACGGCAACTGGAGCAGCCGAGGTCACAGCAGGCGCGCTTGGCCTGAAGGGCATCGGTTTGCCGCTCATGAGCGTCCTCGAGGACATCTTCCCGGCGTCCAAAAACAATCTTAAGAGGTGCGGAGACGCCGAGGTGGCAGAGCACGTGTTCGCAGCTGGGTGGTCTAAAGCATTGCGGTATCTCCGGAAGCACCACCGCATCTCCATCCACTTCGTGTTCGACGTGCTCAACCGCGACGACTGCGAGAACGAGCACTGGGGTCCCAAGGACAACCCGGCCGATCTGTTCACGAAGCCTCTACCTGCTAAAGAGCACCACGCTCATGCGTCCACGCTCGGGCTCGTATTTCCGAGAACGCGCGGCGCTGGCCTGGCCGCAAAGACTGCCGGGGCGATGCAGGAGGAGGAGGAGAAGGATATCGACGACGAGGAGGAGCAGAAGGAGACCGCAGAGCAGAAGCAGGAGGGGACCGCAGAGGAGAGGCAGAAGGAAATCACCAAGGAGAAGGAAGAGATCCAAGAGAAGGCCCGGCGCAGGTGGGTCGGCCCTGACCCTCCGGACTCCTTCCGCCACAGCCTCATGCACCTGCCGGCCCATCCGGATTGCGGCATTTGCAACTACGTCAAGATCACGCACGTGCCTGCCCGGAGGCAGAAACATTTTGTTCGAGTGCGTGTGTATGGTCTTCGGTTTTATCTAGAGCTTGTTGGACCCGTAGCTCAAGGCGACATCTTCGGGAACAAGTATTTGCTTTGTGGCCGCGACGAGTACTCAGACTTAGGACTGTGCGCGCCCATGCGCAATAAGACCTCCAGCACCGTCACTGACACCTTCAAGGTTGCCTACCCTGTGATTCGGCCTATCAAGGTCGTGCGCCCAGACTGGGGTGGAGAGTTTGCAGGCCGCTTCGAGGCATACTGCCGCCGAACACAGCATCGATATCGAGCGGGGCATCGCAAGACGGCCGCAAACTTTCAGCAGGGCGGAGCGGTGGCACCGCACGCTCGAGGAGGGGACCCGCGCAGCTCTTCACCAGCCTGGCTTCTCACATCGTTGGTTTTCTCTGGCAGCAATGTTTTGGACCGAGCATTGGAACCGGAGTGGCCACGGCGAGCGCGTTGCGCCCTACACCTTGAAGAACGGCTACGAGAGCAGCTTGGAGTTGCACCCTTTCGGGTGTTTAGTTTTCTTCGTCAAGGGGCCGCACTCCCATGGCACCACGACGCTGGCGAAGTTCGAGCCGAGAGGCGAACTTGGTGTCCTTGTGGGCTATGGCGCGCACAACTCCTACGAGAAATTGAGGCTGGAACCGTTCGTCCACCGAGGTGTCATTGCATTTCGCACCACGCGTGACGTCAAGTTCCCCTCTGGTCCTCCGCGTTTCCCAATCCGAGACATCAACAAGGCCGCGGCGCAGCCTTACGTGGAATGGCACTTTCTCTTGCCGTGCGAGCAGGAGGCGCCCGAACAGGAGGCGCCAGTGCCACCGGGAGCTGAAACTTGCAAGACGTGTGGGAAATACACGACAACCTCGGAGGTCACCTGCCCGGCCTGCCGGGATGGCGCAACGAAGGCCCGCCGTCTCCTGGGTGAAACTCCAGGAAGCTCGCTGCACGAGGGGCCTGGATGCGCTCTGATTTTTTATTCCGTGCGACGGCATCACAAGAGCTGTCACAACCAAATGTAACACTCATCGGTTGACCATGGGTGCCGTCGCAATTGAATCGTAGGTGCCCTCGCAGCCGTACGGCTGCGGTCCCACCACGATGAACAGAAGCGCGTGGCCTGGATGCGCTCTGAGGCGGTGCGCGTGCATGGACGCCCCAAAAGGCGCAGGCAAAAGGTCGTCGCGGTGCATCCGATGACACCACGGTTGCCGACCTCACGTTCGAGAATTCCAGCGTCGACGAGGAGGACATCCAGGGGCCGCCTTCCACGGTTGAGGGCGGATTCGAGGAGCCTGATGAAGCTGGCCTAGCACTTGCAGCTCATTTGAAGGTCACGGGCGACGACGTGGACAAGCTCGAATGCTGCACTGCGGAGGCCGTCCAGGGCTTCGCTATGGTGTATCGCGGAGTCAAGCTCGACTCCCACGAGGCCAAGTGTCCGGAGGCGGAGGCCGCCATCGAGAAGGAGATCAATAACACGACAACACGACCAACAAGACCTTCGACAGCTACGAGAACGTCCAGGAGAAGCACGACATCATTCGCGCGTACCCTGACGCATTGTTCGTGTACTCCCATTTGCTGCTCGGTGTCAAGCACACGGAGGTGACCACAGGCGGGCAACCCCCCATCTGGAAGGCCTGGTTGGTGGCTCGAGGCCACTACCTCCATGACGCCAGTGGTGTGAAGATCATTGAAGCAAATCTGTATGGAGCCCCCGCCTCCCTGGAAGGAGTCCGGGTTGTGGCTTGGAGAGTTACTATGTCTCCCACGTGCGATCTCCTGCAGGCGGACATCAACGCGGCATATTTGCAGGCACGCCTCAAGGGAAGAACAACGTTCGTGGAGTTGCCGCGCCGGCTATGGCCAAAGGAATGGTTCTACAGTGACGGCACGCCCAGATTCAGGCACCCATTGTTGCGTCTGTTCCGAGCTATTTATGGCCTTCGACGGTCTGGGTTCGAGTGGATGGAACATGCTTAGCGAGTGCTTCAACACCACGGTTGGCAACCCATTTGTGACGTAGCTGACAGCTTGTTCGTGAAGACCACCGCAGCTGGTCCGCTTGTGCTGTGCTGCTACGTGGACGATCTACTGGAATCAGGACCGGGACCAGAACTGCGTCAAGCCATGGAAGAGCTGAGACGTCATTGAAGGACACAGAGGAGACGTGTGGATAGTGGAAGTCCTCAGCCCTCCAATGACAAGTCCGGGGAGGTTTCGTGACAAATTTAGTGCCGGAGCAGGGGGCCCAAGGATGGCTTCCAAGAGCAGCGTTTAACAATTTTAACGCCGATTGGTCTGCTTCCAATGTGTTGCTTCCGGCGGGGCCCAAAAGGGCCAGATGACCGGAAAACGGTTCCCACATTCTGGCCGTGATACTCTGTCGCGTTTTTTTTTCCCCCAGCTTTCCTCCGAGCTGGGGCGTCAATGCGTGCAGTTGCAAATCGCTCCAGCGCGCAAAGCATTTTCCAGAGCAGGCGTCGTGGCGACACGACGGCATGCAGCAAGCTGAACTGTAGCACGAACTGTAAACGTGATGGCTCAAGAAAAAGAGTAGCGTCGTGGTGACACGACCATGCCACCATACGCATGCAAACGATCTTCTGACTCAAAAGACAACCGCCTCGACAAACGTATTGCCACAACCTTGGAGACAACGTTGAGGGAGGTTCAGGGGCTGCCCTTGCGAGGAGAGCTGAGTAATCCAAAGCCGGTCAGCCTTCAGACGTGCATCGAGTATCTCACCGCAATAGCAGGAGAGCAGCAAGCATGCCAGAGCATGAACAACAGACACATCCACAATTTTCACCCACCCAGTGCAGCGTTTCGTGGCCCCATAAGGGGGCTCCACCCAAGGCCCCAGTGCCACCGTCCGCATGCGTCCAGGAAATGTGATTTGGCATTTTCATCCGCGCAGTGCAGCGTTTCGGGGCCCCATAGGGGGCTTCACCGAAGCCCCCAGTGAGACCGTCCGCATGCGCCCCGGTAACCCAATTTGGCATTTTCACTCACTCGGTAGAGCGCTTTGTGGCCCCGTAGGGAGCTCCACCGAAGCCCTCAGTGGGACCGTCCGCAAGCGTCCCAGAAACCCAATTCGGCACACCACCCACACAGTACAGCGTTCCCCTCCGCCCAGTGCAGCGCTTCGTGGCCCCATAGGGAGCTTCACCGAAACAGATATTTACAATTACGGTAATTACCCACAACTGCACATGATTGGGACCTTCGGCAGGATAATTTTTCTACGTCGCTCATCTGCAAAAGGCTACCGCGTGCGTCAAGACTCACGCGCAATGCCAGACGCCCATGCAGATGCTCGCGCACGCGTGAACGTACGCGCAAGCTCCTGCTTCCCCCCCTCCCACTGAGCGCGCGCGGCGACTCCTGATTTCCCGCTCTGCTCGCGTCCGCTGGCGGCTGCGCGGCGCCTGGGGATCCAAAACGATCCGCACCCGCCATCCGAGCGTTGAGAGACAAGTCAGGTACAACCCGCTGCACATGCCGTACACGCTCCACCCTCCGTCGTTGTGACCTCGGACGGGGGCGGGTCCGACAGTGGGCTAGGAGAGCTGGAGGGTGCTGGACAGCCCTCACAGCCAGAGAAGCGCTGCTGGAGGAATGCACAACTTTACAGAGGGCAGCGGCTCTTGGGGCCGCGGCTGTCCTGGATCCCGGATGGGGGGCAATTCCTGCGTGGGGCTGGGGAGGGCCGCGGATTTTTTCATCATCCATCGCCCTCAGGGAAAGCAAAGCCACGCAACGCATAGTCTGAATAGGAGCAGCGCGTGCTATGGCATACATTGAATACCCCGTCGCAGGGCACGCGACCCTATACTCGCCAAGGCTGGGCGCGCCTATCAGGGAGCTCTACGAGCGGCAAGCCTGCGTGTCATGAGGATGGCCGATGGCGATGCGGCAGAGAAAAACAGAGGGACCTTGAAAGGCGGTTGTCACTTATATGCGCAACAACCCAAGGCGTGACTCGGACATCCGGCCGTCATCCGAAATCCATGGCAGCATGGATTCCCCCGTCACGGCAAGAATCTGTGAAATCCGGCGACCCCCTGGGGTTCATCGGCGTGTGAGATGTTTCACCCTCCCCAAACCCCTCCCCCGGGAGCCCGGTCCGGTCGATTTGGAGGGGGGGGGTCCCCCGGGGTGGTGGGTGAACGCGCCCGGGGAGGGCCACGAGGGCCACGAGTCGCTGAAAGATCGATCCAAAACGCCCACGCTGGCCTCCAGACGGCCCAAGAAGCCCCTAGGACGCCCCAAGAAGCCCCCAAGAAGCGCCCCAAGAGGGCCTCCAGAAACAAAAATCGTCCCGCTCCCTTTCTGGAAAACGTGCATTGTTTGCACATTCGCCTCTTGGGCGTTCACAACGTCCCAATCGGCCCAAGAGGCATTCAAGCTCGCCCCAAGACGGGCCAAGAGAGCCCCAAGACGGCCCAAGAAACCTCCAAGACGGCCCAGGAGGACCCCAAGACAACCCCACCCAGAAGGGGAACCCGAACGGACATTTCGAGTCATCCACCCCAAGACGCCTCCGGGCTGCCCCATGGAGCCCCCGACAGGCCCCCAGGGAGCCCAAAGACGGCCGCAAGAAACCCCCAAAGTGGCCCCCAAGAGGTTCAAAAAACTGCCTCCAATATCCCCCCAAACGCATCCAACGAGACCCCATCAGCCATCCGAGTGGCCTCAGACCCGCAACCCAGGTACGGTGGCGGGACGTGCCGAGAGCAATTCGATCCGCCGCCCCCTTTTGCTTTAGCAAAGGGGTGCCTGGCGTGCTGAATCCTCTCGGTTTTGGTTTTGGCTCTTTTTCCAAAAAGAACTCCCCCTGGGGCTCCGGCGCGTCCCGCCGGCCACCCGTAAAGCGCGTCCGTCGATGCCCAAAACGGCCGTTTCGCTGGGACATCCTCAAAAAATCTTGAAGATGGCCGAAGATGGTCTGCAAGATGCCTCCAAGACAGCCAAGATGGCCTCCAAGACGGCTAAGCTGGCCCCAAGATGCATCCAAGACGGCCCAAGATGGCCCCAATATGGTCTAAGACGGCCCAAAAGGCCCGCAAGAGGCCTCCAAGACGGCCCAAGAGGCCTCCAAGAGGTCCTCCAGGAAGGCCCGACGAGGCCAAAATCATGGATTTCCTTAGGTTTTTGAAGGATTTTGGCATTTGCGTCTTTTCGGCTTTCCGACAGCCCGTGACGGCCCCAGAGGCCCCCAAGGTCGCCCCAAGATCGCCCAAGAGGCCTCCGAAATGGCCCCATGACGGCCCACGAGGCCCCCAAGACGGCCCCAAGAGGGCCCCAAGACGGCCCAAGAGGCCTCGAAGACGCCCAAGATGGCCTCTAAGACGGCCCTGGAGCACCCCAAGAGGGCTCCAAGTCGGCCCAGAGAGGCCCCCGAAACGGCTTCCGACGGCGTCAGACGGGCCAGGAGCTCACCAAGATGGCCTAAGGTGGCTCGCAGCTTGCCTAAGACGGCCAAAGAGGCCTCCAAGAGGGCCTCCAGGAAGGCCAGAAAAAGGCCCAAAAGAGTGTTTTTTTTCCGAAGGTTTTTGAAGGATTTTGACATTTGCTTCGTTTCGGCCTTCCGACGGCCTCCAAGATGACCCCATGACGGCCCAAGAGGCGCCCAAGACGGCCCCAAAAGGGCCCCAAGACGGCCCAAGAGGCCTCGAAGACGCCCAAGATGGCCTCTAAGACGGCCCTGGAGCACCCCAAGAGGGTCCCAAGTCGGCCCAGAAAAGCGCCCGAAACGGCTTCCGACGGCGTCAGACGGGCCAGGGGCCCACCAAGATGGCCGAAGTTGGCTCTAGGCTAGCCCAAGACGGCCCAAGAGGCCTCCAAGAGGGCCTCCAGGAAGGCCAGAAAAGACCAGGAAGAGTGATTGTCCTTAGGTTTTTGAAACATTTTGACATTTGCTTCGTTTCGGCCTTCCGACGGCCCGATACGGCCCAAGAGCTCCCAAAGATCGCCCAAGGATCGCCCAAGAGGCCTCCAAGATGGCCCCAGAACGGCCCAAGAGGCGCCCAAGACGGCCCCAAGAGGCCCCCAAGACGGCCCAAGAGGCCTCCAAGACGCTCAAGATGGCCTCCGCGACGGCCCAAGAGCCATCCAACACGTCCTCCAAAAAGGCCCGAAAGAGTCAAAATGGCTTCCAGGCGGCCAAGGTGACCTTCAAGATGCCCACGTGTTCCCCGAAGGCTTTCCAAACCGATTCGGGGAACACATGGTTCGATAGCTTGGCAGGTCTGGCCTCAAGGTTCGGCCACATAGGCGCTTCCACAAAGGCAGGGGACGGCGGTGATTCGCCGTAGGCGTCTTCGATCCACCGCCCCCTGTCGATTCATCGCAGGGGTGCCTGGCGTGCTGGAGGACCCTCTCGGTTTGGGTTTTTTCCAGAAAAACTCCCCCTGGGGCTCCGGCGCGTCCCTCTGGGGTCCCGGGAAGGATCTCAAAACCTGGTTGCAAAGGTTTTCCCTGCTCCAGACGGCTCCAAGACGGCCGAAGATGGTCTCCAAGATGCATCCAAGACGGCCAAGATGGCCTCCAAGACGGCGAAGATGGCTCCAATATGCCTCCCAGACGAGTCAAGATTCATCCAAGACGGCCCAGATAGCCTCAAGATGGCTCCACACGGCCCAAAAGGTCTCCCAGAACGTCCACGAGGCGTGAGGTCCTCCAGGAAGGCGCGAAGAGGCCAAAATCATTAATTTTCCTTAGGTGTTGTAAGGATTTTGGGATGTGCGCCTCTTCGGCTTTCCGACGGCCCAAGACGGCCCAAGAGGTCCCCAAGATCGGCGCAGCATCGTCCCAGAGGCCTCCAAGATGGCCCCAGGACTGCCCAAGAGGCCCCCAAGACGGCCCCAAGAGGGCCCCAAGACGGCCCAAGAGGCCTCGAAGACGCCCAAGATGGCCTCTAAGACGGCCCTGGAGCACCCCAGGAGGGCTTGGTGGTGCGCGTGCGTGCGTGCGTGCGTGCGTGCGTGCGTGCGTGTGTGGTGGTGGTGGTGGTGGTGGTGGTGGTGGTGGTGGTGGTGGTTGTGGTGGTGGTGGTGATGGTGGTGCTGGTGGTGGTGGTGGTGCTGCTGGTGGTGGTTGTGGTGGTGGCGGTGGTGGTGGTGGTGCGGCGCGGTGGTGGCGGGCGGATGGGCGCGCGAGAAAGAGGCCCGCGCTGGGGCGAGAACGCCATCCTGAATGATGGAGGCCAAACACCGATCCGAAAATGAGGCCCACACTGCAGCGGGAGCACGATTCGGAACGATTCGGGAGCAAAAATGAGGCCGGCGCCTCAGCGAGAGCAACATTTTGAAGAAAAAACACTAGCGAAAACCCGTTTCCTGGGAATCCTGTGTGTAAAAAATTATCCCGGCAAAGCAACCTAACAGCGATGTGTGAGGAGCATATCTGGAAGCATTCCCCTTAAGATTCGGATGAGAATCCAGTTGTAGAATTCTGCTGTTCTCGCAGTCGTAGTCGCATTCGCGATGACAGTCGCAGTGGCAACGGCAGTCGCAGTCACAGCCTCAGCCTCAGCCTGCCTCAGCCTCAGCCTCAGCCTGCCTCAGCCTCAGCCTCAGCCTGCCTTTCAGCCTCAGCCTCAGTCTGCCTTCAGCCTCGGCCTCAGCCTCAGCCTGCCTCAGCCTCAGCCTGCATCAGCCTCAGCCTCAGCCTCAGCCTGCCTCAGCATCAGCCTCAGCCTGCCTTCAGCCTCAGCCTCAGCCTCTGCCTTCAGCCTCGGCCTCAGCCTCAGCCTGCCTCAGCCTCAGCCTGCATCAGCCTCAGCCTCAGCCTCAGCCTGCCTCAGCATCAGCCTGCCTCAGCCTCAGCCTCCCTGCCTCAGCCTCAGCCTCAGCTTCAGCCTCAGCCTCAGTCTGCCTTCAGCCTCGGCCTCAGCCTCAGCCTGCCTCAGCCTCAGCCTGCATCAGCCTCAGCCTCAGCCTCAGCCTCAGCCTCAGCCTCAGCCTGCCTCATCAGCCTGCCTCAGCCTCAGCCTCAGCCTGCCTCAGCCTCAGCCTCAGCCTCAGCCTCAGCCTCAGCCTTCAGCCAAAGCCTCAGTCTGCCTTCAGCCTTGGCCTCAGCCTCAGCCTGCCTCAGCCTCAGCCTGCATCAGCCTCAGCCTCAGCCTCAGCCTGCCTCAGCATCAGCCTGCCTCAGCCTCAGCCTCAGCCTGCCTCAGCCTCAGCCTCAGCCTGCTTCAGCCTCAGCCTCAGTCTGCCTTCAGCCTCGGCCTCAGCCTCAGCCTGCCTCAGCCTCAGCCTGCCTCAGCCTCAGCCAGCCTGCCTCAGCATTCAAAATGTGGCCCGGGAATGGAGTTCTGGGAACTCGAAGAACACGAAGTGGCCTACAGTTGGCTCCGGGCATTCAAAATCATGCCCAGGAATGGAGTTCTGGGAACTCGAAGACACGAAGTGGCCTACAGTTGGCTCCGGGCATTCAAAATGTGGCCCGGGAATGGAGTTCTGGGAACTCGAAGAGCACGAAGTGGCCTACAGTTGGCTCCGGGCATTCAAAATGTGGCCCGGGAATGGA